ACAAGTATTCTTTAAATTCACAACTACTCAACTAGCATGACTTTAATATTATCACCTCCATATCTCAAAACAATTATCATGTTTCAATCTTTTCTTAGTATTCAATACACTCAAAAGAAAGTTTCACAAATCTTTAATACCAAGCATATTATTATTAAGCAAATTACCATGCTATTAAGAGACTCTCAAAATAATTTAAGTGAAGCATGAGAGATCAATAGTTTCTTTAAAACAAATCCACCACTGTGATCTAAAAGATCTAAGTGAAGCACATAGAGCAAAATTATAACACTCAAAAGATATGAGTGAAGCACATAGAGCAAAATTAACTAGCTTAAAAGATATAAGTGAAGCACATAGAGCAAAACTACTTAGCTCAAAAGATATAAGTGAAGCACATAGAGCAAAACTACTTAGCTCAAAAGATATAAGTGAAGCACATAGAGTATTCTATCAAATTTTAATTCATGTATGGCTCTCTCAAAAGGTGTGTACAGCAAGGATGATTGTGGTATACTAATACACAAAGACACAAATAATACAAGACGCTCCAAGCAAAACACATATCATGTTGGTGAATAAAAATATAGCTCCAAGTAAATTACCGATGGAAGTGGACGAAAGAGGGGATGCCTTCCGGGGCATCCCCAAGCTTTGAATTTTTGATGTCCTTGGATTATCTTGGGGGTGTCATGGGCATCCCCAAGCTTAGGCTCTTGCCACTCCTTGTTCCATAATCCATCAAAAGATTTCACCCAAAACTTGAAAACTTCACAACACAAAACTCAAAATAGAAAACTCGTGAGCTCCGTTAGCGAAAGAAAACAAAAGACCACTTCAAGGTACTGTAATGAACTCATTCTTTATTTATATTGGTTTTAAACCTACTGTATTCCAACTTCTCTATGTATTATAAACTATTTTACTAGCCATAGATTCATCAAAATAAGCAAACAACACACGAAAAACAGAATCTGTCAAAACAGAACAGTCTGTAGTAATCTGTAGCTAGCGCAAGATCTGGAACCCCAAAAATTCTAAAATAAATTGATGGACGTGAGGAATTTATCTATTGATCATTTTCAAAAATAATTAACTAAATAGCACTCTTCAAATAAAAATGACAGCAGTTCTCGTGAGCGCTAAAGTTTCTGTTTTTTACAGCAAGTTCAACAAGACTTTCCCCAAGTCTTCCCAACGGTTCTACTTGGCACAAACACTAATTAAACATAAAAAAACATAACCAAAACAGAGGATAAATAATTTATTTATTACTAAGCAGGAGAAAAAAACAAGAAATAAAAATAAAATTGGGTTGCCTCCCAACAAGCGCTATCGTTTAACGCCCTAGCTAGGCATAAAAGCGAGGATAGATCTAAGTTGTGCCATAGTAATAAGATAGATCGGTGAAGCTCATTTCATATTCTCTATGTTCGGCAGCAAGCTTTCTTTGAGGCAAGCAAAAGTAATCAAAAGGACTAAATTTAACGGGATAAAATTCCCCAAGATCAACCTTGGGAGGTATAGGTTCCTCCTTTGGTCCTTCGTAATGCACAACCAATTCATCATTATAAGCATTCTTTTGACAGAACTTTGTGAGCCTAGACTCAAGAGAGTATCCTAGCTCATTATTTCGAATAGCCAAATCATCATTAAGTTCAGAGATTCTATCAATTAAAATATTGGTTGGCACCTTTTTTCTGAGGTTTTCATTAAAAGCAACATAGTGAGGAGATTGAAAGCGCATAATTTCTTCTTGATTGAAGATGATAGATTCTATGGGAGGAAGACCAACGTCCACCCTATAGTGCCCAAAGATTTCTTTGGCTTCTTTTATTATAAATCTGAATTCATGAGCTAGAAAGATAGTAGTGGCACGCTTAACAGAGGAATGCTCGATATTAGAAAATTCTAGGAAAACTCTTTGTATAGATGAGTGCATATGCATAAATTGCCTTTCAAGTTCAACGATAAGCATGGCAATAGCGTCCGCAAGACTACTAGTTCTATGGAGAATAGAACCGCCCATAGAGGGCAAAGCACCGACACAAGTAAAGAAATCTTGAATAACTCCTTTTCCAATAATATTACCACTACTGATTCGAAATCTTTTTCTATGGTAGGTAGGGGGTTCTTCAGCAGGAGCATCAGAATTTTCCATGATATTGTTATCGCCCATATTGGTGATAACTTCCCCAATTTCAGACATAATGACAAGCAAGCAAACTAGCACACAAGCAAAAAGCAAACGGGCAAAAGGGCAAATAGAGAGGGAGGATAGAGAGAGAGGGCGAATAAAACGGCAAGGGTGAATTGGGGGGAGAGGAAAACGAGCGGCAAATGGCAAATAATGTAATGCGAGAGATAGGGATTGTGATGGGTACTTGGTATGTTGACTTTTTGGGTAGACTCCCCGGCAACGGCGCCAGAAATCCTTCTTGCTACGTCTTCAGCTTGCGTTGGTTTTCCCCGAAGAGGAAGCGATGATGCAGCAGAGTAGTGTAAGTATTTCCCTCAGTTTTTGAGAACCAAGGTATCAATCCGGTAGGAGACCATGCTCAAGTCCCTCGTACCTGCACAAAGCGATAGCTACTCGCAACCAACGCGATTAGGGGTTGTCAATCCCTTCACGGTTACTTACGAGAGTGAGATCGGATAGATATAATATTTTTGGTATTTTTGGTATAAAGATGCAAAGTAAAAGGTAAAAGCAAAGTAAAAAAGCAAAGCAAGATTAAAGTAATGGAGATTGATATGATGAGAATAGACCCGGGGGCCATAGGTTTCACTAGTGGCTTCTCTCAAGAGCATAAGTATTCTACGGTGGGTGAACAGATTACTATTGAGCAATTGACAGAATTGAGCATAGTTATGAGAATATCTAGGCATGATCATGTATATAGGCATCATGTCCGTGACAAGTAGATCAAAATGATTCTGCATCTACTACTATTACTCCACTCATCGACCGCTATCCAGCATGCATCTAGAGTATTAAGTTAAAAACAGAGTAACGCCTTAAGCAAGATGACATGATGTAGAGAGATAAATTCATGCAATATGAAATAAACCCCATCTTGTTATCCTCGATGGCAACGATACAATACGTGCCTTGCTACCCCTTCTGTCACTGGGTAAGGACACCGCAAGATCGAACCCAAAGCTAAGCACTTCTCCCATGGCAAGAACTACCAATCTAGTTGGCCAAACCAAACGGATAATTCGAAGAGACTTGCAAAGATAACCAATCATACATAAAAGAATTCAGAGAAGATTCAAATATTATTCATAGATAGACTTGATCATAAACCCACAATTTATCGGTCTCAACAAACACACCGCAAAAAGAAGATTACATCGAATAGATCTCCACAAGAGAGGGGGAGAACTTTGTATTGAGATTCAAAGAGAGAGAAGAAGCCATCTACTACTAACTATGGACCCGAAGGTCTAAGGTAAACTACTCACACTTCATCGGAGAGGCTAGGATGATGTAGAAGCCCTCCGTGATGATGGCCCTCTTCCGGTGGAGCTCTGGAACAGGCCCCAAGATGGGATCTCGTGGATACAGAAAGTTGCGGCGGTGGAATTAGGTTTTTGGCTCCTCTTCTGATCATTTGGGGGTATGTGTGTATATATAGGAGGAAGAAGTACGTCGGTGGAGCACCGAGGGGCCCACGAGGCAGGGGGCGCGCCCCCCACCCTCGTGACCTCCTCTTTGATCCCCTGGAGTAGGGTCCAAGTCTCATGGATCACGTTCGGTGAGAAAATCACGTTCTCGAAGATTTTATTCTGTTTGGACTCCGTTTGATATTCTGTTTCTCCGAAACACTGAAATAGGCAAAAAAACAGTAATTCTAGGCTGGGCCTCCGGTTAATAGGTTAGTCCCAAAAATAATATAAAATTGGAAAATAAAGCCCAATATAGTCCAAAACAGTAGATAATATAGCATGGAGCAATCAAAAATTATAGATACGTTGGAGACGTATCAGGTATGTGGATATATATATAGGAGTAAGAAGTAGGTCGGTGGAGCAACAAGGGGCCCACGAGGGTGGAGGGTACGGCCAGGGGGGTAGGCGCGCCCCCTGCCTCGTGGCCGAAAAGTTGATTGCTTGACGTCCACTCCAAGTCTCCTGGATCACGTTCGTTGAGAAAATCACGTTCCCGAAGGTTTCATTCCGTTTGGACTCCGTTTGATATTCCTTTTCTACAAAACACTGAAATAGGCAAAAAAACAACAATTTGGGTTGGGCCTCCTGTTAATAGGTTAGTCCCAAAAATAATATAAAAGTGTAAAAATAAGCTCATTAACATCCAAAATAGATAATGTAATAGCATAGAGCAATCAAAAATTATAGATACGTTGGAGATGTGTCAAAATTATACGTACTTATGGTTGGAACTATACTAGCAAGCATCTGCAAATATTAACAAGTTCACTAAGGCAAAACAAACCATAGCATTAAGATAAACCGGTCCCCCTTCAATCTCATATACATTGATTTCTACACTCAGCCTCAGTAATATCCGTCACTCCGGTTGCCTATGTGTAGTCCTATCAACATACAACTAACCCTAAGGTGTGATCCACGGGCATGCTCATATGATGGGAACCAAATATCAGCATCATAATAATCATGCAACTCAAACCAATCACAACAATTCAATAATTAACCCATCTGACAAAAAATAATCTAATCAGACACAATAGCGACGATGCAAATCATTAAATAATAACTAGATAATACCCCGCGCGTTGCGGCGGGAATTGGATGCAATACATCTGGATGGTATTTGGTTCTATAGAAGACGAATGTTTGGATGGACAATATGATAATTGAAAACAAAAATAATATGTTAGAATGTTTGGATCAATAATATGATAATTGAAAATTGGGAAATACATATGCATTATCATAAATACTTATTGAAAATTGCAAAATACATATGTATATTCATAATTATTTATTGATCATAAAAAGAACATAATACATGCTTAATTTTCTTTGTAGTTGGGGTGTTCTTCGTCGAGAACTATTTGGACATGTGGCATTCCTTTCTTAATGTACTCGAAGATGTATTTGCTGGACTTGAATGGATGATCCTCAGATAGTTTTGTCTTGTCTTCACATGCAATGGTTTCTCTGAAAGTGATACATATTGGTGGTTTCGTAGTAGTTTTCATCTTTGTAATTGCTTCCATGTACTTCTTGTGAGCCTCCCTTGATGGATGAGTTGTTGACTGGGGCAGAACATTATTTGGTCCATCATATTGTATCCTGGAGAAAGATTCATGTGTATTGTTATTTGCAGCAGACAAAGGGATGTAGAAAACAACATTGTATATGAGGTAGCCCTACCTGTAGCCTTCTTGTTGGTTGTCCATGGTTGTGCCTGTAGTAAAAAAAATCTGATCCCAGAGATGAAGTTGTAGCGACTACAATGTTATCGGGTGGTCTTATATAGGTGTCTTACAGGGGAAAGAATGTCTAACCGAACGATGTTTAAGAAATGGTTAATGCAAAATCAAGTTAGCAACTAATGTATCCTAATAAAGAGTGTAGGTTTCCATCGAGATCCTAATTGCAACAAAGAATATGAACTGATCCATTCATGAATTTATTTTAATACACACTGTAGGTTTCTATTGAGATCGTAAGTGCACGAAAGAACATAAACTGGATCCATTCATGAGTTGGTACTTGATTTAATAGATACAGCTTTCCATTGAACACAAAAGTTTAAATGTTCCTTGGTTTAACAGAAGCTGAGCAAAGTGGTATGAACAGAAGCATTGTGTTATTTTCGGTTGTACGCGATGGGCTTTATTCACCATTTGTAGCAGAGTGCAAGTTGTCCTGGGTGTATTGGAAAATACAGCACTGAAAAAAAAAGTAAATAACGCAAGAAAATACTGGAGTTTTAAATCAGAGAATGGAAGTTTATATAGTTAATGAACAGTACGTATATCGTCCAAATGTTGTTTTACTCTGGCTGTGCATAGCTGCTTGCGACAGTTTAATTGTCTGCATTGCTATTGATGGAGATTTGTTGGAACAGTAAATATATGTAGGAAGAAGCTCATATTGTTGGCTAAATTTGTATATAGGGTGTGAGAAACAGTACATACTCTTGCTTGTGCTTTTTCATGATACTTTTTTTCCAGTTCCTCTAAGCTAACATTCAGAAAATTGGTTCCATTTGTTATATCAGATATTGAAAGTAATAAAAGCAAGAATCACATTAGAAAATAAACAGGGCAAGAGAATATAAATGTAACCCAAGAACCTCCCTGCACTTCAAATAAGTTGGCATTTGGCCGAACATAGCATGGATGAGATGTTATCCTGAATATATCATATTCCCAATATCGAACAGCACATAGAATGAATAAGTTAGCATTCACTTGCATGACCAGTAATGATTTTGTAAAGAGACTGCAAATAATCGCGACTCGGTACTGATTTTCTGAAATTAAGATTTACTTGTTAAAAGCTTGGAAATCTTCCACACTGAAAAAAAACATTAGTGTGACATAAAAATGCTAGTTAACTGAAGCCTAACACCAGTTGAGGAAATATGATGCTTGCGGTACTGCCAAATGATTTAGGTGATTTATATTACGGTGTACTTTGGTTGTTGTTGATACTTACTCCTAACTGCTACCAAGAAGTTTGTATATGTGTACCTTATCTAGTAATTCGAGAACCATGGTGCACTAAGAGTTTGTGAGTGTTGTCATACCTGTTAGATTTGTCGGCATCAACCTCGCTAAAATCAATTCTTCTTTTTGCTTCGACCCTGATTTTAATTGACATAATAGATGTAACGTAAGCTTGATCTGAGGGATACAATTCAGATTTGGATGAAGCAAACCAGAATCTATAATAGGCAAGGAATTAAAATGCAAGGCTATGTATTGAATCAAGTCAAATAGTGTGACGCCCTCGATTCAATCGTACACTAATCATGCACGCAAATGTGTACGATCAAGATCAAGGACTCACGGGAAGATATCACAACATAACTCTAGACATAAAACAAAATAATACAAGCTTTATATTACAAGCCAGGGGCCTCGAGGGCTCAAATACATAAGCTCGAATACACAAGAGTCAGCGGAAGCAACAATATCTGAGTACAGACATGAGTTAGACAAGTTTGCCTTAAGAAGGCTAGCACAAAAGCAACATCGATCGAAAAGGCAAGGCCTCCTGCCTGGGAGCCTCCAAACTACTCCTGGTCATCGGCGGCCTCCACGTAGTAGTAAGCATCGGCGGTGGCATCTGGCTCCTGGGCTCCGTCATCTGGTTGCATCAGCCGAAAAGAAGAAGAAAGGGGGGAAAGGGGGAGCAAAGCAACCGTGAGTACTCATCCAAAGTACTCGCAAGCAAGGATCTACACTACATATGCAACATTATCAAAGGAAGGCTGTATATGTGGACTGGGCTGCAGAAATGCTAGAATAGAGAGAAGGCCTAGTCCTATCGTAGACTAGCATCTTCTCGAACCCACCATCTTGCAGCAACAGGAGGAAGTAGAGTAGCATAAAGTAAAGTAGCAGTGGTGTTATCAACCTCGGCCGGAGATCCTTTCTCGACTCCCTGCGAGAAATAAATCCCAGAGCCATACTATCCAGTTATCATCACAATCAAATCCTCCTCACCATCCAGTTCTCATCACAAGTATCCAGTTCTAGTTGTATCGATCGGGATACAACTCCAAGTGTCCGTTACCGTAGGACAGGCTATGCATAGATTAGTTCTTCCCTGCAGGGGTGCACCAACTTACCCACCACGCTCGCTTAACTCCGGTCGGACACACTTTCCAGGGTCATGCCCGGCCTCGGCCAAACAATACGCCGCAACCCGACCTAGACTTAATAGAGAGGTCAGCACGCCGGACTAAACCTATGCCCCCAGGGGTCATGGGCCATCTCCCCGGAAACTCCTGCACGTTGCGTACGCGGCTGGTGAGCAGACCTAGCTACCTCCTTCAACAAGGCAGGCGCTTGCGCAGTCCAACCCGGCGCGCGCCACTCAGTCGCTGACGTCTATTAAGCTTTGGCTGATGTATACGACGCAGAACGCCCATACTATGCCCACGTGATGGTTAGTGCTATCAGGACAGAGGCCCCTCGGATCAAATATCCAAATCGTAGTGGATTAGGAACGCGCGGTAACAAGCAGAGACTCACGAAAGATGTGACCCCGTTGCCCCGTCTCGAGGACTTGCGGCAAGGACTAAGAATGCCCGGCCACGCCTCGTAATTATCTCGCGGGCACCCTCCAGGTCAACCCGTCTCCACATCACTCGCAATTATGCTCGCGCGGGCACCCCTCAGGGTCGACCCGTCTTTCGTAACATGGTTCAGTGTAACATAGTAACCAAAGTAACTGTGTGTCCAAGCATCAAGGGGAAAACCCGAGGAATCACCCCGGTGAATTCCACTCGATGTAATCAACAAGGTGAACGTAAGAGGAATCACCCCCGAGGTTCACACTTGAGGGGTTGCACGACAGAGTCATATCGGAAGTGGTTAAGGCGGAATCACCCTCGATGACCACGACCGAATAGCTACGCTACAGGGTTAACATCAGAAGTGCTGTAGAGGTCTCACCCTCGGCACTTGATAGTAACCCAGCAGAGTCGAGCAACTAAGGGGAAAGTGATGTGCGGTGTCGGGGCCTGGTCTTCGATCCCGTTGATCGGGTCTTCAATGATGAAGCAGGGGCAACAAGGACAAGGTGGGGGTCACTGATAGATCACTAACCAACCTATACTAAGCAGTTTAGGATAAGCCGGTACAGTAACAATAAGCAGGTTACAAAAGCAGGCTATGCATCAGAATAGGAGCAAACAATAACAATAGCAAAATCTAATGCAAGCATGAGAGAATGGAATGGGCGATATCGGGATGATCAAAAGGGGGGGGGGCTTGCCTGGTTGATCTGGCAAGGAGGGGTCGTTGTCGACGACGTCGATCACAGGGGCATCGGCATCGGTCTTGGGGTCTACCGGAGAGAAGAGGGGGAAGAAACAGTAAATACATAGCAAGCAAGTGCATACTAGGACAACAGGCAGAGCTAGACGTGTTCTAACGTGGTGCTACACGATACCGGCGAGGGCGGAAGTCAACCGGGAATGCTTTCCCGGTTCCGGACCTGTGTCAGACAGATGACCGGAGGGGGAAAGTTCCATGTTCAGCATGCTAGAGGCATGTGACAGATGAACAGACCGCGTATTCGGATTTGTTGGATTTTTCTGAGCAACTTTCATATATAAAGTTTTTCGATCCGAGCTACGGTTTAATTTATATGATTTTCCAAAGTTTTAACAATATTCCAGAATTTCTGCTTTTGATTAAATTCGAATTGACCAAGTCAATTTGACTAGTCAAACAGGGAGGATGTGGCCCACATGTCATTGGCACATAATTTAATTGATGGCTAAACTAAAATGGAGGGGTTAAAATTAACATAGGGGGCCACATGACATAGGCTAGCAATTATCCTAAGTAGTATTAATTAGTCTAACTACTCTTACCACTAAGTATTTAATCAACCTAAACTAATCAGGGCCATCCCCACTTGGCAGTGAGCCAACCCTGCCTCCCACGCACACACACAACACACTCACGCACACAGTTCTATTTTCTGCTAACAAAAGATAGCATTTTGTGATTTTCATCGAATTTAATCTATGCACCAAATGGATTTGGTACAATGGAAACATTTGAGCATTGTCAAGTGTACTACCTCCCCATAATAGTTTTCCTCCAGTTAAAAGTCGTTTAGTCACTGTTTAGGGGCCGTCCAGAGGGTTAGTCGTTGTAGAAAATGAAAAGCTAGCAATAGCTACAGTAACTGAATGTTACTGAAGCTGTACAGCATTCCAGCAGGCACCGGCTGCGGGCGCCCGCGTGCGGTAGTGTCAGCGGTGGTGAGCAGCGCGGCTGCAGGCAGCAGAGCAGCGGGGCGAGAGGGCGCGAGGCAGCGCTCGCGGTGTTGTGCGGCCGCGGCGGGCAGCGCCGGCGCGGGGCGGCAGAGAGGACAGGCATCGCGGGGGCGGCAGGGGAGCGCGAGCAGGCGCGCGGGGCAGCAGTGGGTGGGGGATGCGGGGGCGCACGAACCGGGCACGAGAGGCAAAAGCAGCACGCGCGTGGGCGCGGTTCGAGCCACGCGCGGAGCAGGAAGGGTCGCGGCGAGCATGACGACGTCAGGTGGCGACGGGCGTTGATGGCTACAGTGATGTGGGGGCACGGTACGATGTGTGCGCACGCGTTGCGTTCCTGGAAGCACCAGGAGCACGATGCTGTGCTCGGGCGAGCATGACAGTGGCTGTGGCGACGGCCACGAGCTCATCGGCGGCGGCGTATTCGGGCGC